CATTCGAAGTCAACCTTCCTTAAGGAAAAGCAGAGCTTCATTTGCTCTTCAATGCTATACTAGGTTAAAAAAAAACTAAATATTTACTGAGAATATAGTTGATAAAGATTGACAACTTGAATCTAACTCACTTCTTATAGTTTTATGAAGAAGAAGAAATATTCATAGCAGGCATTCAGACATCCAGGATCTCTGATCTTCTTTCACTCTTTACCTATACGTCCTTTTAACATAGCTCCTTATACAAATAATTCTAAGAAAATTTCGATGAAGAATGTATTACAAGACCCGGGTCTTCTATTATGAATTTCACATAATATTCCAAAAGGCGTCTTCTATTATGGAAGGGTCTTGTAATATATGGGGGTCTTCTATTATGAGGGGGGTTTAGCCGAAACTGAAACAATTATCAAAAATTTTTTTATTTTGAATTCTCGGTTGAAATCATTCGAGTGATCGAAAAAGTGTTGATATTTCTCTACCCAATTGACAAACCCTCAACCTATCGGAAAATGAGAATCGGAGTGCTCAATTTGAAATTTCGATGAGTACGATACTCTCAAATCGACAGGTTGAAATGTGTATCGAATGACGACTTGGGATCAAACGATAAAGTCTTTTGTGGTATTTATTCAGATGAGTTTTTGTAATAATTATATGGATATATATATGTTAAAAAAAATTGAAAATAAATCGAAGAATATCTTTTTTTTGTATTTCTTCAGAGAAAACTATTGCATTTTGTTTTCCAAAATCCGAAGATAGATTATTTCATCATTATATTAGATAATATGTAGGAAAAGAGCTACATTTTGCAGTTCTGTTGATTCAATTATTCATTTTCTGTAAAGTTTACAGAAAAAAGACTCAAATCTTAGCGTGAATTAGTGTCCTATTTACAAGGTGTCCCAAAAGTAACCTACCAAAAGTTTTTTCGTATATCTTTGCTATTTTGTTTAATTTTATCAACAATTTATTTAAATTATAGGTGAATATACCGAGTTTTTATTTATCCGAACGAACTTCCATATAATTGTGTAAAACTATCACCTTAGATCAAAATACAAAAATTTTGCTTTTGTTGTAATATGCGAGTAATTCAAAAGTCAACTAAGGTTTTTTTTTCTTTGATATTTTCGTATGGTTAGATAGAACTCGTCGAGTTCTACGAGAATATGTAGATTGAAAATGTTGTAAACCTTTGTTTTTGATGCAAAATTTACGAGAAATTACTACAGTAAATCGGAATAATCAGAGAACAAAACGATATATAATGTTTTTCTGGAAATATAAGGAAAGCAAAATTTTTGTATTTTGATCTAAAGTGATAGTTTTACACCATAGTATGAAAGTTCGTTCGGATAAATAAAAACTCAATATATTCACCTATAATTTAAAACAAAAAAATTGTTGATAAAGTTAAACAAAGTAGCAAAGATATACGAAAAAACTTTTGGTAGGTTACTTTTGGAACACCCTGTATGTTGTCCTATATAGGAATACGAAATCCTATAAAACTAATATCTTCGATGCCTATATTTTCAAAAAGTGGCGTTCCAAGGCCAGTTTAAAACATGCTTGATATGTATAAAATTTCGCAGAGTCCGACGAGTTCCATCTAACCATTTAAAAATATCGTTGAAAAAAAGATTTTCTTCCTTTTTGTATTACTCGTATTATACATCTTCACATAAGGAAATTAAAAAATTTCAACTTTTTTTTATTTCAACAGTAATGAAAAAAAATTGCGTAAATATCATTTTACTGTCGAATAGGCACTGAGTTGATAACGATACCGGTTGGTTGAGTATTGTATGAATATATTTAATTAGTTTCATGCAAATGAGAATAGTATAGCAAATTGCAAGGCAAAAATTTTCTTCTCTTTTCTTTCATATACTCTCTAAGAAAAAAAAAGAATTTTTGCTTATATAATTTACAGTAATGATAGCATAATTTCTTTACGTCATTCCACTCTATATAAGTTTTTTTTTCTTCTTTTACTTTTAATGTTTTTCTTTTTTTCTACATTTTAATAATCAGAAGGCAAACAGTGTATTAATGAATTAAGAACAATTAAACAATGGACGAAGAAATCGCTCGAAAGTTACGAAATGTTCACAAAGTAATTAACACACACGGGTATGAAAACATTAAATGATGTTTTTTTTTCAAACACTTTTAGACAGTTGACACTTTAAAAATTTGTCAAAATGATCCGTGAGTTAACAAAATATTTTTATTAATAAAAATAAATATTTGTTTTCTAGATCGGATGAAATAACTAAACAATATGGTTTTATAAAATTTGATGAAAATAAACTTGATGCTACAACGCGTCTTTCACAATACATACGATTAAGTCTGAATACAAATGCTGAAACAGTTGTTAAATTTATGCAACAAGGTTGGGGTTTAACAAAACCAGACTTAATTATATCTATAGTTGGTGGAACAACAAGTTTTAATATGTTACCATGTCTTAGAAAAATTTTTCAAAGTGATTTAGTTGCTGTTGCTATTACTACAAGTAATTTATTTTAATTTCAATAGAAAAATAATTTATATCGAATGTTTGATTGAATAGATGCATGGTTAATTACAGCTGGAACAAATGCTGGAGTCGTTAAAGAAGTTGGTGAAGCTCTTAATAAATATCGTTATAAAAAACGAAAAAATGGAATTGATATACCTTGTATCGGTATTACTAGTTGGGGTTATACAGCAGGAAATGAACAAATTGATTATCAACCGACGACTAGCTTTACACATAGTGATACTACAAAAAGAACATATTCATTCAGAAAACATCATCTAAATCAAATATCAAATTCGGTTCGTATTATTGTTTGAAAAAAAAAGAAATGTTTTTCTTTTAAATTATTATTTAGGACATTGATGATCAATACTTTATTCGAAATTATTCAATTACAGAAAAACAAAAGACTCGATGTGATTTAGAACCAAATCATACTCATTTTTTATTATTTGATGATGGACAACCAAATGCTGATACTGTTCTACCATTACGAGCAGAAATCGAAAAATATTCTCGATATATCAACATTGAAACTACTACAGAAGAAATAATTGAATCGCTTATACCTATTGTTATGATTTTAGTTGAAGGTGATTCATCATCAATTCGAACAATTTGTCAAGCACTTAATTCGAATACACCGGTTGTAGTTATCAAGGTATTGAAAAAAATTATATACTCTGAAATAAAAATAAAACACTTTATTGTTTTTTAAAGGAATCAGGTCGTGCTGCTGATCTTATTGCTGAATTATATGCATGTTATACTGATGATGAAAATAGTAATACTACTAGCTACTCTACACAATTAGTAAGGGATAATTCAAAAGAAATCGAGATTAACATGATGTAAGTTGTATTATTATAAGAACTTTTACATGATAATTGTCTCTATTGATTGATTGATAAAGCTTTGCTAGAGCACAAACTACTATCACAGGACTTGATGAAGTTAAATATGAATTGTGTCGAGTGTTAAATGAACGTAAACAACTAGTAACAATATTTATGTTTAATAGTAAACGACATCATAGAAATCTTGAAGATGCTATTCTAGAATCTTTATTTAATGGTAAATATTTTTCATTAATAGATTTTTGAGAAAAATAAAAACACATTGTTCTGTTTTATAGCTGCAAAATTTTCCGACGATTTTAATGAAGAACATCGTCGAAGAGTAGAACTTAAATTAGCTATAGTAATATAAAAAGATAATCAATTGAATAAACTCTTTTGTTTTTGTATTCATATAGGCTTGGCATAAATTTAATTATGCACAAAAATATCTTCTTACTGATACGACAATATCAAAATGGAAAGTATGTATATATTGTGTTATTTTTATTATTTATTTTCTTGAAATAAATAATAGGAAGATGATCTTTGTCGTGCTCTTGTCGATGCACTTTATCGTGGTCATGTTGATTTTGTTGAATTAATTATTGAATATGGTACATCACTTGAAAAATTAACAAATGGAGATCTTAAGCAATTGTATGCAATAAGATTGGTATATTAGTTTCAAAAACTCACAGCGACGGGCTAGCATCTTCAGTCGAAGTGTGGCAATTACCACCAGTTGCTATATGATAGAGGCTTGCAAAACAGAATTAAATCCAGTTTCTCCTGTTCCACGGCACAAGTGGAATTGCTTCGAAAATTTTCTGCAGAGGACAGCCGAGATCGGGACTTCAGAAAAGAAATTTCGCACTCAGCAGGCGGAATCAGAACTTTAAAAAAGTTGTCCCGAACTTCATTAATCTTTATCTGCAATATGTCCTACAATTACAAATTACATTTCTTTTACTGCGAAGAAAATTTTTCATATGAAAAACGAAAAAAACAGGCAAAAAATTATTTATAAACGTTTTATAATTCTTTATTCTAATCATTTTCATCATTTTCGTCTTATTTGATAACTTAATTTTTGTATGTGATGCTGCTGAAGATAGAGAATCGTTTGAAATGTCACTAGTTTTTCTTTTTCTGTCTGTTTCATAGCCCGAATGATATATTTCTTTTAGTATTTTACACATTACGTTTAATGAATAAGAAATTATTAATTTTATCAGCGTCTAAACAATCGGTTACTTACACAAGGATATGTTTATATTTGTTCTGGATACGAGGACAGACAGGATTTTTCGGGACATTTGGAGTGAGCCCTCAGGATCGGCACGCTTATAAAAATTTGGGGATGCGACAGAAGAAAAGTTTGCCCCACAGGACTCTATTATATGGTGACCCACCAATGGTTATAGGAAAGTGTATTTTAGATTTAACTGTGCCACTAATAACATTTTTAGGTGTGGCAATTGCCGCCAATTGTCCGCTGGCGGCCCGTCGATGAAAACTCAAAAGAATTCATATTATCAAGGTTTTTTTCTTTTTTAGGCTGGTAATCGATTACCACTTGAAAGTAAAAGAAGAAATGTTTTATGCACAAGAGATGATTTTTATTCAGATTATTTTCATTTCATTCTCGTATGAAGAGAATAGTTGATATATTGATTATTTTCTAATAAATATCTTTCTAGAAGAATGCAAACAAGAACAATAAATTCTTACTATTAGATGATAATGTGTCATTAGGTAAACGTGCTCCACAGGAATTATTTTTATGGGCTATTTTTCTTAATCGATTTGAACTTGCAACATATCTTTGTTCCAAAACTTGGGTAAGTTATAAAGTATTAAGTAAATCTAACATAGGAACCCATTATACAGATACTAAGAAAGATTGACCATATACATACCAAATGATCATTAACTTGAAATGAAATATTCGACTTTCAAAGTGTTGACAGCTTTTACATCACCAGATTTTCTTACCAAAATTGCGAATATCTTAAACATCGAATACATCTTTCCAAACTCTCCATTGTGAAACTGTGAAAATAACCATTTAAGGCCTCCTCTCACCTTCAAAAAAAGTCACTTTATTTTCAGAATCATTGAAATTGAGATAAATCCATAGGAAGCAGTGACGTAGCCAGGACTTTCTAAACCATGGGCCATTTTCCAGCTAAATTATTTTGCAGATTGGGCAACAATGAGCAATTCAAAATTACTTGGGCTATAGTTTTTATATAGTTATTAGCATCACAAACATTATGTTCCCTGAAGAGAATTAAAACGGAAAAAAAATCATAAGTTTTTCCGATACATTACCTCAAAAAATCAAAAGTGAAGAGCAAAAAAAACGGTTTTACCAATTTATTGGGCAATTGCCCAATGACCAACCCCCTGGCTACGCCACTGACAGGAAGATAGTCTGTCATTTGCTCTTTCATAAACGATAAAAATTTTTCTTCGATACTTTCTTTTTTTTCCGAAAAATGTTCAAGATTTTTGATAACTCCTATTCGAAAAACTAGCGGTTTTTGAAAAAATCCAAAAGTCTATTTTCTTTTTTTTTTCAAATTGATAGTCGAACGATGCATCTCCAACAAAAGTCAACTATAATGCGATATAAAGTCAAATATTTTTTTTTGTTTGAAACAGCATCAAAAACTACGGCGCCTATGAGAGCCCTTTTTTGACTGATTGAACTTATGAAGCCTTTTTTTCCTTCATAAAGTTAACAATTTAAAAAAGGCCCTCATAGGCACTGCATCCTGACATGCTCTTTCACATGAAAACCCAATCAACCATATTGAATGAACCTATTTTTCGAGCGTTGTTTAGTTCGTATCTACCTTATACATCAGGATAGGAGGCTGAAAATTTAACCACAGACATCCTTTTACACCTCCAACATATTCTTAAAGTTTCATGGCATCTCGATGTTCCTAAGCTGAGATCGAATTTTGAGGGGGGAGGTGGCCTTAATTTGAATATGGTCAGTTTTATGATCAGCAGAATAGATTCTTTTATATGATACTATTTTCTTCCTAGAATTCGTCCATGGCACCATTATTTGCTGCACAAATCTATCGACGAGCAGCAAGATTAGAACTTGAATCAGATATAAAACAACAATATGAAGACTATGCAGAGTACTCTAAATATTTTTAAAATTAGTCGTAATAATTTTTTCTTTTTTTTTGTTCTAGTCAATTTGATAGTCATGCTATGTCAATTATTGATCGTTGTTTTGATAATGATGAAGAGTTTGCTGTTGATATTCTAAAATATCCTGCTGTTGCATTTTATGATGTTTACCCATTACAATTAGCTCGAAAAGCTAATTGTGAATTATTTCTTGCATCAAAATGTGTTCAAAAATATCTTGATCATCAATGGTAATATTTTTTATTTTGATTTCAAAAAACGAATAAAAAAAAATAAATTTCTAGGTTCGGATGTATCAATTATAAAAGAAAAGCTATTGATTTTCGAGTTAGTAATTATAAATAAAATAAAATATATAAAATATAATATTTTTTATTTTTTAGGTTTTTCTTTGCTCATTATTTTTTCCTTTAATTCCAATATTTTGTATTTTTCTACCTTATGTTCAAAAGCATAAAAACGTTAGTGAAAAAAAAATTGAAAAAAAATTCTAAATATATTGAATAGGTTTTAAAGATGATTCGACGTACTCAAGATCAATCAAAATTTAGCCAACTAATGATGATGCATAATATTATTATTGAGTAAGAAAATAATGATGATTTTATTTAAAATTTTATTTATATTTTCGTAGACCTGTTCAATATAAAAAGAAGAAGAACTATGTTCAGTGGTCCGATAGAATAAAATATTTCTATCAAGCACCTATTGTACGATTTTATTATTATGTGGTAAAGATTATTTGTATTATTTTAAAATATTCTTACTGATTTGTTTTCTTTTTATTTTCGATTAGATATTTTACATTATATTTCTTATTTTATTCAGTGATGTTCTTCTTGTTGATTATTTTCCATTAAATATTTATAATGAACGTCGATCTGGTATTCAAAATTTACGAATACCTATAACTGAAATATTTCTTCATATTTGTATTTGGAGTTTAATTATTGAGGAAATTCGTCAAGTAATGTATCCAGTTACATATTATTATTATTATTAATAGTGTAAAATTTTATTGTTTTTAGTTTTTATTTTTGAATTCCAAAAGAGAATATGTATCAGGAATATGGAATATCCTTGATATTCTCGCGGCTATTTTATATCTTATCGGTTTTATTACACGATTTATTGTTTATGAATCATTTTTTATTGTATCAAAGTAAGTTTATTTCTAAAATATTTTCGTTTTGAATATAGGATCAATTAATCTTCGAAGTCTTAATTTTTTTTTAGGATATTCCTATGTCTTGATTTGATACTTTGGTTTGTTCGTACATCAGAAGTATTTGCTGCTTTTGAAAGATTAGGACCAAAATTGATTATGATTTTTAATACGGTTAATAGTTTATCACTCAATTAAATTTTTTAATTGTTTTTATTTTTTGTTTAATTAATAGATGAAAGACTTATTCTTTTTTATTTGTTTTATTCTTATATTTTTACTTGGATATTCAGTGGCAGCATGGTCATTAATTACTACAGATAATCAAGTTTTTTGGAATTATAATAGTGATGGATCATTATTTAATGCAACAGTATTAGGTGATGCAAGTAATTTATGGACATGGGACTTATTACGTGATTTTATAAATTTTGGTATTTGGAAAGTTTTTGGACAAGTAGATTCAATAAGTAAATATAATTAAAATAGAATCTTTAGGTATAATAGAGTTTATTTTATTCTTTAGATGGTACAGATGCATATTCTGTTGTTGCTTTTGTATTGACTATATTATTTGTCGGTATTTCAAATGTACTTCTTCTTAATGTACTTATTGCTTTACTTAAGTATGAAGAGACGTTTTTTTTTGAATTAGTACAAATTTGATTTTGTTTTTATTTTTTTCAGTATTACAATTCAAAATGTTCAAATGAAATCTCATCGAATATGGCGATATCAACGTTTTTTACTTATTTCTGACTATAATAGAAAGCCACCATTACCACCACCATTTAATACTATATATTATCTATATATTTTTATTTGTTATATTGTCGAAAAAATCAAACGTTGTAGTCAAAGACATCAACACGGTATTTTATAAAACATAATCTAAAGGAATGTTGAACTACATAATATGAAATTTTGGAATTTCTCCCATACAGACCTCCACAGATATTTTACTCTAAACATCTAATTGATAATCCAATTAAAATCTAATCAAGGACTTTTTAATAAGTAGCTAATGTTGTGCGAGCGAGCGTAGAAAACTCACAGTATAGTTTTTAGACCAAAGCATTGAATTCTTCAAGAGTTATCATTATAACATGCAGAATATGCTTTCCAATATCGAAGGTTATGAACAAAGTTACCCAGAACAATGATTCTAGAGAACGGCTTCTACAGAAACCGCCAGGAAAATACCAGAATTCGTCGAAACAGGGTAGTAGTATTCCGATCGGAAAGTTTTCGGAATTTTTTCGATGATCTTCCATCTACTTCCTTCCGTTTCCCGCAGGAAGTTCGTGAGAAGTCACCGGAAAAAATCCGAAAATTCTCCGACCGGAATACTGCCACCCTGTTCTATCGAATTCCGATATATTTCGGTCCGTATTTTTCGACCTCGGTATAGACCCAGGTCGAAGATTCCGTTTACCGAATCCTGCGAGAAGAAGCCGGAAGTCGTCGCAACAGGGTGGCATTATTCCAGCTGGAAATTTTCGGATTTGTTTCCGATGACTTCAGATTAAAACCTCCCGTTTCCTGGAGAAAGTTGTTCGGAAGTTAACCGAAAAAATCCGAAAACTTTCCGGCCGGAATACTGCCTCTCTGTTCCGACGGCTTTCGGTGTTTTCCTGCCGGAATCGGCTCGGACTTCTCGACCTGGGAAGCTCCGAAAACCTATATTTATGAAGCATTGTCTGCTTGTAAATTTCCCATTAAATCTCTTAAAACTTGCAAAACGCTATCATGAAATCCAAAAATAATCGTGTTTTGAAAGTAGCAAATGTAGACAACTTGATCATAAAGAGATCTCAAAAACTGATGTTTCTGTCAACGAACCGAAACGGATACGATGGGTGACATCACGTCATAGATCATGACATACATGATCGAAAACCTTACATTGATAAAGCCTTATTAAAATATATAAAATAGCTCGTGATTCTACTAATAAAACATTCTTTAACAATTTGCTGCAACACAAATAAAATAAAATAAACTCTCTGTGATTATCAAGATCAGCTGCATTGTGTTTTACATTTTTATCCTGCAGAGTTTGCGCCAGCAACCTTTTTTTTTATACAAATCATTAAGGATCATTTTTGTTTTCTTGACATCATAGTGGACTGTGAAACTTCAATGACTTTAAATAAAAAGAAAACTCAAGAAGAGTTTAAAAGTAAGATTGTTTCGTACGATTTAAATTCATAAAATCTTTATTTCTTTTGGTTAATGATAGTTAGTGATGCAATGCAACGTGAAAGTGCACTAGCTGATGACTATTGGAGTTCTACATTGAAACATGGAAAGAAAGATCAAATTGACGTTACAATACAGAATATTGAACGAAAGTAAAATTCATAGTTCGTTTTTTTAAGTCTATACTAATTCAATTTTTTTTTGTTGAAGATTTCGTGATTTACAAGAACAAATACATAATGTGAATAATCAAGTATCAATAAAAATTTGTTTTATATATATTCTCCTAATTAGTTATTTTATTTAATAGAATTATGATCAGCAATATTTTTCATCTGATCGTACGAAGTTTTGAAATATTTAATTGAAACTATAATGAATGCACCAGAATAAATAAATCTCTAGATGCTGTGTATATAACTTTCTCAAATAAAGACATATGATTGAGTCTTTTGTCAAAAGACTCTACAGTACTCTAAAATGTCTGAGTATGAATATAAATAATACATGAGATTTGATTCAATTTATATACGAAGTAATAGAAAATGTAGAGATTTTTGTTAACCCTTTGGTTACGGAATACGTATACATACGTTTTGAACTTCGCTTAACGTACGATTGGGAAATTTTTTATTCTTGATTAGACCATAAGAGTGTTCTCTGTTACTCTCGTGTTGCCTCATCACTGAGACATCGAATAGCATTCTTATGCACTGTGTTTATCTGCGTTCTTCTGCATTTTTTGGACATAGATTCGTTGTACCATATTTCGTCATAATAGTTCAGGTGGATTTCTCTCCTCTTTTCGAATAATGTTCTATATTATTGTCATGGCTTGCAATTGTTTTTGGAATGAATTCTAGGACATTCATGATAGTTGGAAATATTCGCGCATCGCATGTTGGAATTCTCTAACACATTCCATGGGATCTTTTCAATATATTTAGTCGTACAACCAGATATGAAAAAAAAGCGTACAGATACGCGTTATCAGTGTGACATTTGTAACGTTGGGCTTTGTGTTATAGGCTGTTTTGAAGAATATCATACTCTGAAACATTTCTGAATGCTTCTGTATGATAATATTCAATAAAATCTAAATCAAGATTTTTGAAGAAAATAAATTTTTCGTTATTTTCAAAAAAACTCCGTAACCAAAGGGTTAATTAATAAATTAATGTTAATAGGAATTTTCGATATTTGTTGATTAGACGATCATTTTCAACCTTTTACCACGAAACTTTAAAACAGATGTTACAAGAGAAAAATATATTCAAATACAAAGAGGGTGTGGGTGGGAATGGGGTGTGGCTCTGTGTGGGTGTGAATCGTCTTTCTACTTACACCTACACTCCGTATCAGAGATGGACGAGTCAGCAAACAAGTCGCACCGTCACTGCTCCGTTGATAAAGCTCTACATCGCCACCATCCCACCCCATCCAAAATATGTTTTCAAAAACTATTTCTCGACAAATTCTTCATTAAATTTTCATAAGGGATCATCCCCCCTCTAGACGTTCAGGACAAAAAAAAATTTCTTTTTTTTCAAATGATAACCAAGGGGGGGGGGAGAGAGGTAGCTTTGCGAAGATTCCCGTATCTCCCCTCAGTACTCAAAATTTTGTGTGAAAAAATTTTTTAAATTTTAAAAGATGTCTCTAAAAGTCTCAGTATATCTAAAAAATGAAGGTTATACAAAGGCGGGGAAACCGCGAAATTTCGTCATGTACCGTAACCACCCCGCCAGCGGCACAGGACGGGGCGGTGTTGTACTGCGGCTCGTTCATCTCTGCTCCGTACAGCCACACCCTCAAGATATTCGCAAATCCTTTATTTCATTCTCTAGATCTATAATTTACCACCCATTTCATATACTGTAGTGAAATTTAATTACCACGGAATTTTAAGACATAAATCGTACAATGCTTGTTACAGTATATGCGCCTTTGTTGGAGAAATGGATGCATGGTCACAGAGGTAGCAGTGAAACTCTTATGTCAATATACTGCAATTCTCTTTCTCAATTGAATTGGTAAAATTACTTTAACAGAAATGAATGCCAATCATTTTGGTTCTTGGGTTTCATAGTGATTGTCAACAAAACATTATAAATGTCATTGAATACAGCACAAATACACGCAGCTGTGGCATATAATCCCTAATATGTATGACTGTGACTCAATCAATGAAAACAGAATAAGATATATATGTAAGATTCATGTTGATTTTGTAACACAAAGCTTAACCATTAAATTATAGTTACTTTTTTTCAAAACAAGCACATAAAGCATCATTACATGTTATTCGAGATTCAAGATTGATCATTTTTTCGACCTGGAAACAGTTCATATTTGCATCTCTAGTAGATTTTCAAAAAAGAACAATATTCAGAGACAAACATATATGTTAACTATCATAAAAATGCTATTCAAAACAGCTGGATTCGAGTCATAAAAATCTTGTGTTACCATAGAAATACTATGTAATCTATTGCACTCTACCATCAAAGTCAGAAAACTTCTCTACATGCATACGTCTAAGAAACAGAAGGCAAAGTCAATGACAACGAGAATACTAGAGAATTTAAACAATGATCAATAAACATTCAGATGAAAAAGAGAAACCCGACATCGTAGGAAATAAAGTTTATTGAAATATATTATTTAATAAACATTCATGAATAAGAATGCATGTCATTGAGAAACATAGTTGATATATTCTTGCTGGAAAAATAAGACCATCAAACAATTGAATAAACAAAAACACAAAAAAAATTACGGTATAAAGCACAATCTTCGAATCATCAATAGATTATTTCTTTGAGTTTTTTTTATCTTTGCTCGAATCAACACCAAATTGTCGTTCAAGTTGTGTTTGTGTATTATTAACAGCTGCTTCGACAGCTTTCTTAATTGCCAGATGAATTGCCTTCTTTGTTGCTATTTTTGCTACTTTATTCAAATTCTGAGTTTTCTCGTCGATTATTGGATCGATTTCATGGTAAATTTCATGAGTAATATTATATTTAACTTGATTCGATGTAACATTGTGAATTGCTAATTTGTTTACTTGTTTTTCATTTTTCTCAGGATAATCTTTTATATTTAATCCATGAAAATCATTCGGCGATGATTTATGCATTTCATTTACGATATGATCTTTTTGTCTCTAATTAATTCATTTGACAATAGATTACTGTGAAAGAGCACATATTTGTAAAAATAGGCTTACCTGATAATCTGCTGGAATTTTGGCAACCTGTTCTGCAATCAAACGATTCGAGCGTTCATTCATTTCATCAGTAATACTTTGATCTGATATAACACCTCCCATTTTCCTTGTTTTATACAAATCACACCAGGAAAAACTAATGAAGAAAAGAGAAAATGATTGAAGAGTTCGAATAGAATTCTCAATTGAAGATGGTACTTTGTATTTCTTACACTAATTTCACATATAAAGATGAGTTGGCTATATGATTAAATGCAGCAAATTTAGGAAGAATTTCTCCACAATTATTTATTTCAATTAGTCTCATCGATTATTTTCATTTTCACTTATTTAGTAATCTAGTTATTCAATGAAATAACTGTAGACTTCAACAATAGTAACCAAAACTCATCTCACCTCATACATGACAATATACCATCTTAGATGAACACTTCATCTATCTACTTACACTGAAATAATATATTTGTATATATGTCGAAATGAAAAAAGCCGTTAAATATATGTACTTTCGAATGCTACCTCACTTGACTATTTCTGTCAATAGGAATAGATTTATTTAGGATATGATGCCAACGAACGTATTTATATACGTAGAAGTTTTTTCATTTTCTTTAAGAATAGTGTTGATGTATAGAAGCCTAGAAAAAGAATGTCAATGATCACAGCGGTGTCAGTTGTACGAGTTTGTAAGCGTGATTTTGATGAAAGCATAGAAATATGATTGATGAATAATGATGTCACTGCAGTATTTTGATTGCTATTAAGGCATGCAGGTTGTGCTATGAGTAATACTTTTCAAAAAATCATACATGTAGATGAGTTAAAACAAATGTATTGAATTTGAATTCGAATAAATTATTTTTCAACTATTGAATATTGACAATGAATACATAAATTTAACAAAAAAACGATAGATTGATGACGAATATGCAGGAAAATAATTACAACACGATTCTATGAGAATTAACGTAAATCATTTTATTAATATTTGAAATATGAATATCTGCAATGAATGATCTGTACACCTCTTTACTATAATTCTAACTCAAAATCGTATGTGATTAAATCAATACAGAGAGAAGTGGAAAAATATTTTATTAAAAATAGATTAATAAGAATAATAGTTTGAGAAACTAGTTTGTTACGTGAATTGCGTAATATTTATTTTTGACAATGATTTATTCCATCTGCTTCCTTTTTTTTCGTCATTTTCATTTTCCAGTAGGCGTAATATGATTTATTCGAATTTAAATTCAATGCATTTGTTTTAACTCATCTACATGTATGAGTTTTAGAAAAGTATTACTCATAGCACAACCTGCATGCCTTAATAGCAATCAAAATACTGCAGTGACATCACTATTCATTAATCATATTTCTACGCTTTCATCAAAATCACGCTCACAAACTTATACAACTGACACCGCTGTGATCATTGACATTCTTTTTCTAGACTTCTATACATCAACATTATTCTTAAGGAAAATGAAAAAATTTCTAGGCATATAAATACATTCGTTGGCATTACATTCTCAATAAATTTATTCATACTGATGAAAAATATCAAATAGGACAATATTTGAAGGTACGCAGTTTTTTTTTACTCTTCTTACGATTTTGACACACAAACTGATACATTATTTCGATGTAAGCAGATAGATGGAAGATTAATGTAGGAATGGATTTTGTCATGATGAGCTGCTGAGGAAACATTCCCAACTGTCACATCGCTATTGAGTCGAGCGAATGAGCATGATGTAGGTCCTAATGATCTATGAATCCACTCAAAAAAGTTTGTGCCACTAGCTTCTTACTATCGAGATATTGCATTTTACCGTATATTGAAACAAAAAGCTGTGATCTCCCTCAGAAACACTGATTTTCCACATGAAACTGTGCATGCAGATAGGCCTCTGTGTGAGAATAGATTATTGTGAAAGTTTCAGATCTTTTGGTTACTCCTAGTCTGAAATAAAAACATCGGATCTGCTGGTGTATATCAGCAATTTTTCCATAGCTGTGCCTTAGGATGGGAACAATGAAAAGAACTGAAATTTTCACAATAAAATATTCTCATTGAGGTCTATCTCTATGAAAAGTTTCAAGTCGAAATTCAGTGTTCTTGAGGGGAGACCACGACTCTTTTTTCTTAAACGTACAGTAAAAACTCAGTATCTCGGCAGTAATAAGCTAGTGACACGAACTTTTTTCAGAGAATTCATAGATTGTTAGCGTCTACATAATGTGCATACGTTCGACTTAAAAGTGATGCGACACTTGAGAATGCTTCCTGGCGAGATGAGTTTTGGTTACCATTGCTCGAAACTAGTATTATCTTATCGAATGACTAGAGAAGCAAACGAATGAAAATGGAAATAATTTGTTCGATTATTTTACATACTCATCTATGTAATATTTATAAATGCAAGTGATATCTCTACTTTATGAAAACACATTCAGCAGGACAAACGTTACTTCAGATCACATTATCAAGCACTCGAATAATTTCACAGATATACTACATATAATCTACTGATATTCTAACTCTGACAGATATTGTACCCATGTTGCTAAAATCGGCGGTTAGCTGCGGTTCTTTTTCTTGATTGTTTTTACTTCTCACTGGATGAATATTTTTTAATTCTGACAAAATTGTCAGATTTGAGTCTAAATCGCGCTCCGTTATATTTGTAAACGCGCTGAAGCCGCTGATACTAGCCATATCGGCTAATTTTCCTTAGTTTTCGAGTTTGAATATTTTATTAAAAAGGCCGCTAGAAAAATAGCTATAAGTTAGAAGATCAACCAATAGAAAAATTTGTAGTGCCATCTAAAATAATCCACTGAAATAGATTAAAATCGATTTTTTTTTTGAGTAAAAAATGATGTTCTCAGAAATATCAATATCGGTTTTATTGTTGTAGACAAAAAAATCCTGTAATCATTGCTATTTGTGTTTAACCCATCAAAGCTAATAGTTACCTCGATTATTAATTATTATATTGATCATCAATGGCAGAACGGCAATCGCCGGTCAGTAATTTTTATATTGCGTGTCGTAATAATGATATTGATACAGTCAAATCTCTCTTGGAAACCATGACACCTGATCAAATCAACAAATTAGAACCGAATGGTAGTACTGCTTTGCATGCAGCATCATATTATGGACACCATGAAATCGTTAAATTATTATTAAAGCAAGGGGCATCCAAATCAATAAAAAATAAATATAATCATATTCCATATGACGAAGGAAAAACGGATGCTATAAAAGCATTATTTTCACGTGATGACAACAAAGATAGATTTGTAGGAGATTCAAATAATCCGATTGAATGGATACGTATTGGTGATAAGATCGATCAAGAAGCCAAAGCAATACGAAAAATGTTAAAAGATTATTCAAATCAAAATAAAAATAAGAATAAAAGAAAATTGATAAATATGATTGATTTGGGCAATTACAAAGATATTGACAAGATAAAACGGTATTTCGATCAAGCTAATGAACTGAATGATCCTACATATATAATAACAGCTTATACGGAAGAAACTGAATTTTATCAAAGATTAAACAAAGAATTAGCAAGAGTGCATCAACTGAATCCTACAGATGAAAATCAACATCAATTATTAGATTTTCTTCATCTTATTTGTTGCCATCCAGATCTTCGTAAATATGATTTCCAAGGTGAAATATATCGTGGCATGAACATGGATGTTAATGATTTAAAACAGTATGAGATTGGTGTTAAGATTATGACGAAAACTTTACTATCTACTTCAAAAGATCGGCGTATTGCTGATAAATTTGCTACAAATACAGGAATCAGTACTGATGGTACTACAACAAAAAAAGCTTGCATTTGTAAATATAAAATTCGAAAAGCACATACAGCATTAGCAATTCAAGAACTATCAGTTTTTTCACAAGAACAAGAAGTTCTTATAGTTCCCTATTCAGCATTTCAAGTAGTTCATATTCAAGAAGTTACAAGTGATTATGGAGTTATAACTGAAATTGAATTACGCCAATGTAAATCACATATAGAAACCTACACTGCTATTGCTGTAGGAGGAGGTTTATTTGCAGCAGCTATGGGTTCACTCTTCGGATTGTTTCTTGACAATGAAGACGATCAAAGTTGAAATGCAAAACTGGAATTTTATGTTTATTATCTATTCTAGGTCTTGTGTATATTTTTTTATGCATTTATAATATAAAAATAAAACAATGGAGAAAAACAAAGCGTATATTGATACAAACTCCATATTGAGGGTGTGGGTGTGATTTAATAAGTCATCATACCTACATCCACACTCAAACCTTTGAATAAATACTGAGAAATGGTGCGCTAAAAATCATTCAGTTTCTTAAGGTATACTTCTTAGTTTGTACATATTCTGAACTAAATGAGCTTATATTGCGTCCGAAAGACCATAAACTTGGTCTTGGCTTTTATTATAACGTGAGCTTGTATTCTGCATGGAAGAAAGGTGAAGAGGAGAGGAAGGATTAGGTTTAAATAAAAATTTTACAAAGACCCGTTAGCTTTTCTTCAATGTGTCAAAAGAAAGTTGTAAGTAATATAGAGAGTTGGTTGAAGAGATTGTTTTTCAATACAACTGTTCTTTAGTAGAAATGAAATGAGGCGCTTGAAAAAGTCTGCCAAGAAATTGATCCCTTGACATTAAGTCATAGGTGGTTTTTTCAGGACCGAGTCGGCATTTTCTAAGATGGTCAACGCCTTGTGTTACGATAGAATGCCGATGGCAACAGATTTCATTCTGAGCCGGACAACAGTTTAGCATTAACATCCAATACATCATTGTGACCCCACAAAGAACACCTAGGTACCATGCGAATAAAAATTGTTGTTGTGCATTTTCATAGTAGCTGACTTGACTTCTTTTTGCACTCTCTCGGTACGAATCCATAAATGCATTCATGAAACACAGCATACCTTCATTTGAAGGATCAATTATCATTTGAACACGACAACGAGCTACAAGACAAGCAGGATCATATGCAGGTGATCGAACACCGACGTATTCCCAGTCAATGACGGCTAATGTCGAATTGCGATCATCAATCAAAAATTTGGCGGCCAAAGATCTCCTTGTGCGAGGACTTGACCGTCAGTAATCGCACGCGACATGTCATGTTCAAAATAGCGCAAGAAAATTGAAGAAAGTTCATCAGCATCAAGTAGATCATAACCGTCACGCATTTTTCTATCATACGCGTAAATTCAGGCAAATCCATTTGTTTCAACTCGATAATGTTAAGCAATTGGTCGATGTCATTAACATAAGGCAACGAGGAGACTTGCATATCAACAATAAAATTACCCAGTTGTTCACCGTATGCTTGAGCAAGATCAATATTCGATTTGGCCAACAATGATTTTTTGGAAATAAACCAGTCTTGCATATTTAAGAGAGGACCGTGATCGTCTATGATCAAAACATTGTTTATTTCATCATGCAACCATACGCGACCAATCTTTATTGTTTGGTTTCGGTAGAGAACGGATGAAAGATCGACTGGCTTTGATTTAGTATTACTGACCTGAGCTGGCACGTCGTAAAACAGTTGTAGAGCCCTTGCTTCGTTCTTTTGACGAATAATCGGAAACGAAGCATCTGTTGCAAATTCGGCCATATGAGGGTAAGCAATTTTTGCTATCAACGATTTTGGTTTTAGTTGATGAAATAATGTAAGAAAATCATGGTCACTTAAATTTTCTGGTAAAATATGCGGCAACTTATTGTTAAAATGTAAACGGAATGTAAAATTGATCAAGCCTCCTTGAACTCGTTCCACTTTCTCAATACAGTGAGCTAGATAATATCGATTGAGAAATAGCTCTAATTTAGCATCCATATTGTTTATATTTATTTTTGTGATTATAAATTTCTGAAGAAGAAGCGTCACCCTAGTGAAAATACTCATCAAGCGAGTACGACTTTCCAGCGTGAGTACTCATATTACTCACGCGAGTACTCGAGGAATTTTATGTGTATTTTTACTCTCCGTGTACTCTAATACGTACTCGTGCGAGTGTATTTTTAAAAATTTACTCATAGGCAGACAGATGAGTACTCAAAGTCGTACTCATGCTAGTTGTTTCGCAGAATATTTAGCAAAACACTTATGCATTAGCATATACAAAAATAAATTGGAGCTATATAATAAAAAAAACTAATGTAATAAAATGAAAAATAGAGAAAATCAATTGAATAAATTATTTATTTCATACTCTATTTTTTTTTGGATGAATCATTTGTACGGATAAAACAAATGGTGACTTTAAGATAGAAAAGAATAATGATTTTTCATTTTCATTTGTTCAATTCTTCGGAAAGATTAAGTTTTTTCTAAATATATTAATGTAGATTCGTTTTTATTTTATTTCCTAAGCTTAGGCCAAAATTCTTTCATTAAAATGCAATTTTTTTAGATTGATTGTAGAATATCATCGAACAAAAGGCAGTTCGCAAATTGTGTTACAAATCGATCGCGATTTTAAAATAAGAAGATGTGTTAATAAACTATAGACAAATAATTTTATTTTGTATTTATTTTTTTGTAAATTTCCTGATGATTGTAAATAGCGATGGATTTAAAAATGTCTGTTTAGTTTTCTTGTGTAATAAGCAATACTGTACGTTCATTTATTGTCACGTTTCTCATCGTCGTTGATTAATTTATTATTTTTCTGCTTCAGTGTATTTTACTGTCCTTAATTTATGTCTTATTGTACTCTCATTCTCTAGGATATAGACAAAGAAACTTTTATTGTTAGAGAAGATAATTAAATATTTCTTTTTTCTTTATTTTATATAATGAAAGTACGTTTTTATTTATTGTTTCGAAAGAAAAATGAAAAGAATAAATAAAATTGTATTTTTATGGTATGTAAATACAGAAAATATTTAAATTTCTTCGCTTCTAATAAAGATTTCTATGTCTGTAATCTTTACGTTAAAATATATGAAACTGATATCAAATTTATCGTTCTCATGTTGATCATTTTTCTCAACCTTTCATTATGTCCTCTGTTTGTTGGTAGTATTTTAATATTAAATAAAAATTAATGTAGTACAACGGTACTAACCAAAAATATGCTTATAAGTATCTTACATAGGTCAGCAGAGTACACAGATACTAGATAGTAGTACTCACAAAACACTCAATATTACACAGCGAGTACTCGATTGTCGTACTCAGATACTCAGATTCTAGCAGGAGTACTACTGATGAGTACTCAAAATACGTGAGTACTCATGAGTACTCGTGACATTTTCTAGCGTGAGTACTTTTTGAGTACTCGCCTATGAGTACCTTCACTAGGGCAAAGTACAAGGAGCAATTGAGTTTTTTTTACTTACGATGCGACTAAGCACATTATAAATAGAAAAGCCAATAATCTTCTCATCGAATCATGCTTGACAGTGCTCATTTTTTTCTTTCATTGTTGTTCTTTCCACATTACGAGAAGCTGCACTGTCCTTCTCTAGATGATTGTCCTTAACACCTGTTTACCTAATTGACACGTACGACAAAGTAGATAAAAATCGAGAAAAAATATGTTCTTACACCTCCGTACTAGCTCAGGGATCAAAAAAGACAAAAGAAAATGTATATGAGGTGCTGTTTCGAACAGGAATCCATTGATCTCAAAGTTTTCATTGTTCTCAAGGACCAAAATGATGAGATATCCTACGTAGTAGAACTCAATGTGCTCTATTGCTGGAAGTAATATCAGAGTGATTGATTGTGGCCGTACCAAACGCGATTGATCGACATTTTGGTAATATAACACAAAGAAATTGCGAGAAATAGTTTTTGACGGTTTGTATAGGAAAAAGTGATAAGATCGAACTGAAAATTTCAGAGAATACTAAACTCACTACTCTTTATAAGATCTCAAAAAATCAGACAATTCTGCAATGTTACTCAGCCGTCAATGTTCTATAGTGACTGATGTTCTCAGAAAATTACTTCTGACACACTAAAATACAATGTGTCGCATTATGTGTCGCAACGAGCACCTCGTGTCGTATTTCTTGCGTTCTCCGCTGGATATATATAGAGAAGAACGCAAGAAATACGACACGAGGTGCTCGTTGCTACACATGCGACACATTTTATTTTAGAGTGGATACTTTCTGAAAAAAATGAAGTAGTATGAGACGCGTCGAAAAGATCCGTGAACAGTAAAATAGTACTTAGAAGAGTTACTAGATTAGTTCATGATTAACTTTTGTTGTCATGTTCTATTCGCACAAACTTATGGATACGTATACCTTTAGTATTTTTTATTGCTGTCAAATACAACACCCAGAAATATTTGGCAAAGAAAAGGTCACATCTTATTCTGAGTTTGTGTTTTTTTCTTCAATATAGAAAAAAATCTTTTCACATCATATTAAATCGTTAGATGCACAAGGAGGTTATGACTCTCTGTTAAAATAAAAATATCTTACTTAAGCTCTGTAGAATAGAAACATGTCATAATGGTCGCTGAGTTTGCACAAGAAAAAGTGATTTATGCATTTCTCTTCAGATAAGTGAAGAAACATGATATACGAAGTAATTGAAGATGAAAACATACCGACAAGAAGAGACAAACAACTCAGCAAAAGAAAAGAACAACAGTGAAAAGAAAGAACGTAAAATACTCTTGCGAAGCTTCATGTAGTCGAATCAGAAGAGAGTAATGATGAAAGAAGATCATCGAATCAATGTTGAAATTGGCCATCTCTTAGATGTTAGTACGAATATGACAGAAATATTGCCTATGCTTTATACACCAAGCTGCATATTTTGCTTTGTCAAATGATGACTACTCCCATACATTCTTGTTACTTCCAATAAGTAGTCACATCATACACTCTAAATAAACACAACTAGTGCTGTGTTATTAATCTATACAGCATGATCACTTTAATTTTGCTAATTTTATTTTTCCTATAAAACAACAAAAAAAAACAAGTTACAATTTCAAACAATGTTCTACATGAAAGCCTCGAGACTTATATATTTTAAAAACTCGTTTAGGCCAGGACGCTAATCCTTTATCAACATAAGACTGATCCATTTTTTCCACTCATGTAAAAGTTTTTTTTTCAATTGATCGAGT